ATGTATGGGAAACTGGTAATGTATATCGAAATATCGGAAATGTGTTTAAAAATCATATCACCGTTATTGAAAAAAATAATATCGCGATACATATTGATATTGAATTATTGTCCAGCCCTAGCTTCACACATCACTACACTATTGACAATGGACAAAATACAGCTGAAATTTTGGTAATATGGCTGCAACTTTAAAATAATAATAATAATTTTGCTGTCTATATACGCTTTGGACAAGTCTTCTCAAGTCTAGGCAGCTCACTAGGTTTTAACAGAGCTAATGACAGTTTAAGCCCCTAAAAATAAATTATAAAGACAAATATCTCCATACTTATAAACCATATGTGCTTTTACCTTTGGCATATTGCAGAGGTAGCGCAGTGTTTCACCAATGTACTGCATCACAGTTATGTTGTACTTTCTGCAGTCGTCCCAGAACTGAGAGGCGGAAAACTTCCTCCGCAGAACCACAGTGTTACCTGGAGAAAACATGTAAGATGTAAGCAGTACTATATATATATATATATATATATATATATATAAAACCACAAGACTAATCTAAATCTTCTAGATATAAAATCAGCGTATAATATAATCATCAAACCTCTTTCAATGGATCCGACAACTCCGATGAGGAATCCAGCGCTGTGATACAGAGGCAGATTGATGTAGAATATGTCTTCAGACGTCACTCCACAAACACCCTGGATGAACGATGAAGCCCAGACCCTCTCATGGGTCACATATGCTGCTTTAGGAAGACCTCCATGGACCGAAATACCAATGTTATTTAGGGATCTTTATTATATATACAGTCATATATCAGTGACTATATATTTAGCTTTTTTTTTTTTTAATCAGCAGTATCGGCCTGCTTTGATATGCTATTGAATGGAATATAACAATAAATATTACATAAACCACTACATGTGGCCTTGTCAGATACCTGTAGTGCCGGAAGTGTAGATATACAGTGCTGTAGTCCTGATATGGATGTTGGACCTGAGAGACGGGGACAGAGGCGTATCTGAAGCTTTGGCGATGGCTTGACCGATACACTGAATGCCGTCTGTAGTGCGCTCATCCGACAGGAGGTATACAGTTATCCCCTTTTCTTTCAGTGCCGGCAATATCTCCTCAACAGCGTCACGAAGCACTGCAAGAGAAACACTTCACTGCAAAACTCTAGTTACTGACACACCTGTATGATTACAATAATTCAGAGATAAATTGTTGATTTCCAATGATTTAAAAAAATCTTATTAAACATTAACAAAGCAGTTTCTGATATCATGCAAAAGTCTTCCAGATATCGGTTCCCAAAGAAACAGGCTGGTTTTTACATGCACAGCATGTGCTTGAGTTCTCTAGGCCAGTGCTTCTCAAACTTTTGTCTTGTGTTCCACTTAAACCCGTAAGTGGGGCTCAAGCACAGCTTCATTAATGTGCTCTTTTTTCATATTATCCACCGGATAATATTTTCAACTCGAAAGTAAGTAAATAAATAGAAGAATAACAAAGTGCAGTAAATGGTAAACAATTTGGGCTGCAAACCTCTTTTTGTAGGGATGTAAAGGTATTATCAATATAGTGATAACTGCCTCGATATTATCGTGGTCACATGACGATATGAAACAATTGGTCTTCCGGGCAAAAAGTGTAGTTTTCAAAATTTAAACTTCTTATTCTAACATAAAAGGTCTTTAAAGTTGAGTTTTGGGCCATTATGCTTTGGCAGAGTATCTGCCAAACTAACTAAAACCGAAAGCACAATATGGCTTAAAGGGATAGTTCATCCAAAAATGAAAATTTGATGTTTATCTGCTTACCCCCAGGGCATCCAAGATGTAGGTGACTTTGTTTCTTCAGTAGAACACAAATTATGATTTTTAAGTCCAGCCGTTGCAGTCTATCAGTCGTATAATGCATGGCAATGGTAACAAAATCTATGAGAGTAAAAAAAACATGCACAGACAAATCCAAATTAAACCCTGCGGCTCGTGATGACACATTGATGTCCTAAGACACGAAACGATCGGTTTGTGCGAGAAACCGAACAGTATTTATATAATTTTTTACCTCTAATACACCACTATGTCCAATTGTCTTTGAGCGCGCGCAGGCATCCGATGCGTGAGGTGTGTACGCGCTCTGGCATAGTTTACGTTAATGGGTGTGTTGATATCCAGCCGAAGAGCAATCAACCATAACTTCAGGCGAGCAGGCTCAGAATTTGGGAATACGTGGAAAGTCACCACTCCCGAATGCCTACATCTTGGATGCCCTGGGGGTAAGCAGATAAACATCAAATTTTCATTTTTGGGTGAACTATCCCTTTAATTCCTTCAAGTCTGTTTTTGCCGCGTGTTTCAAAGCGAAGCACACATTTCGTTCAGGCGATCAGCTCGTGATCCTCTGTTTTCCGCGCCTCAGAACGGCTCCGTTCACACTGCATGAATGAATGCAGTCAACTCGTTTACTGCATGTGCTGTGAGTTTAGCGCGCGTTTGGGATCGCAACCTCTTGGGATTTAGACTGCATACAGTGTTATCTGTATGCACCAAGGGTCTGAAAATTTTCATTTTTGGGTGAACTATCCCTTTAATTCCTTCAAGTCTGTTTTTGCCGCGTGTTTCAAAGCGAAGCACACATTTCGTTCAGGCGATCAGCTCGTGATCCTCTGTTTTCCGCGCCTCAGAACGGCTCCGTTCACACTGCATGAATGAATGCAGTCAACTCGTTTACTGCATGTGCTGTGAGTTTAGCGCGCGTTTGGGATCGCAACGGCCACCAGTTAGGCTTTATTTTCGCTTCAGATAATTACAGCATTTCACTAGACTTGTAGAGATGCGTTTTTGTAAGCCTGTTTTCATTGAAGCTGGATTGTAATTTCCCTACTGTAGTGTAAAGCAAAAATAATATACCTATGAAATATTCATTTTCATTTTTTTACAGAGCAATTGTTTTAAAATATATGGCTATTGCTGCATAGGAATAATAATAATATAAAATTGTTGTCGTTATTATTATAATATTCTAATTTGTTTGGCTTCCTAAAACACCAGTCAGTGTGAATGTAATTTAGACTGAGACAGTAAGAGGGTTGAGTCCCTTTTAGAGTTCAGGTAGAAGTCAATTCACTGACTTTTTTCTGACTTAAGTTTTCTTAGTTTAGAAACATGGGTTGAAGCTCCTAATTTTGAACACTCAAGTGCATTAGATAGAATCATTTAACTTTAGAACTTTCATTTTTTTCCAAGTTTTAATTAATCTTTTTTTTAAATAATCAAAATAAATATCGTACTGTCGACTTCATATTGAAATTAGTGCTGTCAAACGATTAATCGCGATTAATCGCATCCGAAATAAACGTTTTTTTGATTACATAATATATGTGTGTACTTTGTATATTTATAATATATATACACACATATGCATGTATATATTTAAGAAAAATATGTTACGTTTATATATTAAAATATAAATTATATGAATATAAATATATACCTGTAAATATTTTCAAAATATATGCTGTATGTGTGTGTGTATTTATATATACATAATAAATATACACAATACACACATATTATGTAAATAAAAACTTATGTTGGATGCGATTAATCGCGATTAATCGTTTGACAGCACAAATTGAGATATTATCGTATCGTGAGATTTTCATATCGTTACATCCCTATCTTTTTGTGATTATATTGAATTTATTACTAAAGTATTGTTAAACATTATTACATTTAAAAGATTACGATCGTTTGCAAATAGGTTTGCAACATCAATCAGCATAACGGACGGTTTTTGTACAGCTAAAAGAACTGGAAGCAGCGCCACATGCAAATAAGATGAATATAGCTGAAACCCTGCTAGATGTAACAAATATAGTCAGTAATTAGCACGCAGGACCTAACAACGCCCCTTTTTATTGTGACTATAATTTAAATACAACACAACATCTGCTTTGTTGCGTAAGTAATTATTTTTTGACAGTTTTAATCTTTTTAAAAGTCATAATTTCTGTTTTATATGTTTAAGAAAGCCACTTATTTCTCAAATGCATGCACGCATTTAGAAAAAGGTTGGGAATGAGTGCAAACGCCTCACAACATGACATTCCGATGCTATAGTAGCCCCTTCATCCATGTATAGTATCTCTAGTGACAGTAGCCTACATAAATCTCACCAGCAGCTGCTATGAGCACTTTCGCGCCGCAGCAGGAGAAGCAGTGAAGGAGTGATTTGGATCTGATGTTGAAGTTCAGGAGTGCTGCGGGACAGCCGAGCTTAGCCAGGCCGAGCCAGGTCCACACGAAGCGGGGTTCGTTGCCCAGGAACAGCGCGACCGAGTCCCCTTCTCTGAGCCCAGCCTCCGAGCGCAGCGCATTCGCTACTTTGTTACTCTCCTTATCCACCTCCTCGTAAGAGTAAGTCTTCCCCTCGAAATGAATAAACGCTTTTCGCGGGTGTTTCTTCACCGCCTCCAAAAAGCAGTCCACAATACTATAGAATGGAGTTTTCCTCTTGTATACATTTAATCGGATCCCAAATCTAAGAGCCCTGTACATATACACGCAGTCCTGGAAAAAGTATGTGGAGAAAGTTTTCAGCAGCGCGGGGAGAAGAGCCAAGCCCGCGAGGAGAGTGAGCCACACATACATGTTTACTAGAGGTTGGACAACACTAGGGTTTTGAGATTAACTATATGACATAGCCTGACACCACTTCCACAGTCTTAAAATGCATGGGCCACATTCTCTAAATGCAAGTTCAGCCTTTTTGGGGCTCCAGAGAGAGATTATATCATTCTGATCCACCCCCGACTATACTCTCATCGGGTTGCCAGATCCTTCATTAAATCGGTGCCTTGTTTCCACACGTTTTTAATATGAGAGACCAGGTCTCTCAATACATTCAGATAATTAACTGTGATTTGTGGTTAAGTTTTTGGTAATGAACATTTTTAAAGGAAATGATGCTGAATTTGTTGCTGCACATTCTTTGTCTTTTTTTTTTTTGTACAAATTGCTTGTTGCTAGAATATTTTCATGTCACATCTGGTAAGTATCTATTAAGAGTAATTCTTCCAAGCAAAGATTTTAGATTTGCTGTCAACCGTTTTGACAAGAAAATTTAAAATTGATTAATTTAGTTTGCCACGGTTGTACACAAAATTACGAAATTAGTTGCTGCAGACATTCTTCGTAATTTTGCAGTTTTTTGGTACAAATTGCTTGTTGCTAGAATATTTTCATGTCACATCTGGTAAATGTCTATTAAGAGTTATTTCTTCCAAGCAAAGATTTTACATTTGATCATTTTGTTTGCCATTGTTGTACACAAAATTAAACTCCGTTCCAGATTTTTCTCTGGAGTAACAAATATAATGCTGCATTCACATGATTATTTTTCTATTTTAAGCTCCCCAGTTTACAGTAGTTAAGCACAGAGGAAATCTTTGTGTTTTGGTGTTTAATTCCATGCAGTGGCACTAAATAATTGCATATTAAGTAGGTCATTATATTATAGAAACTTATTATGTGGGCTGATATTCTAATTATTTAAAGACTTAAAATAATGATTTAAACAACTTCTGTGGCAAATTCATGGAGAGTTTATGAATTTCAATATTCCACGATCAAATACTCTCTAACTATTCATATTAAACAAAATAAATACTAATAATTACATTTAAAATGGCACAACGTTCACTTTTTTAAATGAATTTAATTGTATTTATTTATATTTTTGGAATTACATTTTCCACTTAAATTACAAATAACAAAAAAAAAAAAAAGGTAAAAAAGGTTTAGTGCGTGAGTATTTTAAACTCACAACTTGGCAACCCTCATTCAATTCAGCCTTTGAGACATGAGCCAGTGGGAGGGTTTCTGTGGGAGCCAGTCATCTTACAGCAAACTCTTACGAAACTATTTGTTCACCGCAGAAAGCCTCTTTTGAGATTGACAATGAAGAACTTTTGAAACTGTTTTATTATCTTTTTAAACAATGTTGTCATATACTAGTGTGATAAATAAACTTGTCTTTAATTTTTTGAAATATGCACAATAAGCAAAATAATTTTTTACACCAATACATTTGTTAAATTTATAGTACAGACAAAATAATCATAATTGCATTTTTGTGTGTTGATTGTGATCTCTGGACAGTTATTGTCCAATTATTTGTAAATTATTTTATAAATTTAGAGTTGGGAGTCTGAACAAATAAAAGATTTGATTTTTTTTTTAATTATAATTTATAACTTAAAGAACATCCTGCTCTTCACAATCTGAAATGACCATCCAATATCGACTGATATGTGTCACGTGTCAGAGGTCTGTAGCTTTTCACCATCTCATGTAAAACAAACAGAGGGTCGGTGATTACAGCAGGGTTGAAGCCCTCCTCTACCAGCTTCCCTTTCAGCTGTTTGAAAGTGCAAGTCACAGCCAAACAGTCCTGCAATCAGAAATCCTTTGACTTATTTGAGAGACATGAAAGAGTACATAAATGCATTGACAAAGGGATCATGTATTCAGAAAGAGCATTGTGAGGTTACCTGGATCCTTATAAAACGAGGTCTGGCATAAGAGGGGAGGTAAGTGGTCACGTGACTAAAAATGGCATCGGGCTCAAACTGATGGTCTTTCTTCAGTGTGATGGTAGCCATTCCTGTCCTCCCCTCATACCCTTCAAATTCAATAAAAGATCAAGGGTCACTAATGGGTTTAGAAGAAATATTAACTAGTGGTGTCAATGTCAAGTGAATAGTTCACCCAAAAATGAAAATGTACTCACCCCAAGGCCATTCAAGATGTGGATGAGTTTGTTTCTTCATTGAAACAGATTTTGAGAAATGTAGCATTACATCACTTGTTCACCAATCAACCAATAAACAGCTTTTCACATCACACATTAATTGATGTACTGGAGGCATGTGGATTACTTGTAGATTATTGTGGTGTTTTTATCAGCTGTTTGGACTGTCGTTCTGACGGCACCCATTCACTGCAGAGGATCCACTGGTGAGCAAATGATCAAATATGTTCCCATGAAGAATCAAACTCATCTACATCTTGAATGGTCTGAGGATGAGTACATTTTCAGCTAATTGAAATTTCTGCGTGAACTATTCTAAAAGGAGTGAAGTAGCATTAAACCTTGAACTGTAACGCCGTATACATTTGCTTCCTCGATACTCGTTGCCATAGTCAAGATGTCAGACACTTCATTTGTGGAAACGTTTTCCCCTTTCCACCTGAGATGAAGAGGACCATGCAGTTATTCAAGATTATTCTATTTGAATGTAATATTAAAGCTGTAACTTCTGCTTTTAAGTAGAACAAGAAATTCCAAAATTCTGATTCCTGGTTCTGGGATCAACTCCTCACTGTGGTTTTCAAATCTTTCTTTTTAAACAGAAGAACGTGTTCAGATAAATATACTGTAAAGGCTAACATCCTTATTGTATTTATCCTTACAGTATTCAGTGATTATTAGACTCCTAGAACAAGACAACCTTTGAAATCGATTCTTGATTCCCAATGCCTTAAAATTAATTCGGGTCCAAGCACCGAAGGTGCGATGGCACCTAATGTATCCGTTAGATTTCTTATTATTCTTCCACTCTGGAAGTCTATGGCTGCCCACTTTTGCGGGAAAGTTATAAAATTTGGCACACTGATAGAGGACAGTCTGAAATGTCACCATAGCAAATTTGGAGTCTCTAACTCAAACTCTCTAGCGCCACCACTTGTCCAAATTTTCCCTCATGTTTATTCTAATAACTTTTGAACCGTAAGGCACAGAAGGAAAATTCTTTTTCTTCTTATTCCTTGGCTCATGCCGTTTTGAATTATCTCCGAAATTTAAAAATGGTAAGGTTTAGCTTTTTCACTAATTTTTTTTTTAAAAACCTACTTTTTCGAACTCGTCCTAGACGGTTAGTCTGATTTTCACCAAAATTGGCTCAGATCATCTCCAGACCATGCTGGCAAGAGGTAATGGAATTCAAGTTGATTCATCAAACCGTTCTCGAATAAAGCGCGAACGAATTCTACGAAGAGCACGCAAAAATGGATGTGAGAGTATATCTCCGCAACGGTTTGGTGTATCGATCATCTTCAGACCAAGCTGGCAAAAAGTTATGGATTTCGTGTCGATATACAAAGCGGTTCTCGTTTAGCGCATCAACGAATTTACTGGAAAGATGCCAAACTGCATCTGAGGCTGTATCTCTGCAAAGCTTTGACATATTTACACCAAACTTTGTATGTGCCATTGTTACCTCACACTGACCAGGCCACATCATTTTGGTAACAGTGCCACCTATTGGTCAAGAGTAATAAACCATTCATTAACCATTAATTATGACATTTCCAAAAATGCTAATCATTTTTTATTGCATTAGCCTATTATAATGAAATTGGTCTCAAAATATTCCTTGGGTCATGCCGACAACATGGTTACCAATTATGCCATAGTCGGCCGAACTTCCTGTCCGCCATTTTGCTTAATGTTGAAAACCTACTTTTTTTTGTGTCGATAGACAAAACCATTTTTGTATAGCGCTGCTACAAATTTGAGGCTTGATGCCAAAATGACTCTGAGGCTGTATCTCTGCAAAGCTTTGACATATTGACACCAAACTTTGTATGTGCCATTGTCACCTCATACAGAACACACCACATATATTTGATTACAGCGCCACCTATTGGTCAAAAGTGGTAAGCCAATAAATAATATTACTAGTGGTTGTATTTATGATTTTTCAGCCATTTTAACTAAAATCATCTTTAAATGTTTTTAATTACTCATTGCTTCAGTTGGTCTGATGCTTGCTTCTGTAGTGCTTGGCCCCATAATTGCTGCTTGCAGCTATATTTCTTTTTGGAATCGATTCCTAGCCCTATAGAACAACAATTCTAATGCCATTTTTCACCTAAAAGTGTCGCCCACCCGATCCTGGAAGTAGATGAAGTTTTCGTGGTCTGTCCTGAACAGATCTCCAGAGTTGAAGTAAACATCTCCCTTCTCAAACACATTGTAGAGTTTCTTCTTCTCTGTCTGTTTGGGATCCCTGGCATACCCACCAAATTGGGCCTTCTGGGTAATCTTTGCTACTAGTAGACCAGTTTCACCTGTATTACAGTCAATGACACATTAATGACACGTTCGTAAGTAAAAACCAAACAACTGTGCTGTGACAAACAACTTATCATGACATATTTTATGCATACAAACATGCTTCCTCAGAAGTACTGTTCATTAAAAATGAACATTTTACTTGCCTTTAACAACTTCTATGCAAAATCCTTCTGCGTTTCTTACAGGCTCGTCTTGTTCTTGGTCAAACTTAACCAATGCATATGGATAGATTTTCTGAAATAACATTAATGTGTTCAGACAATTTCAATAGTCAACAGTTCTCATTTCAGTACTTCTGATTTGTCTAACTTGATGAACTGCGGGTAAAAGAGTAACGACCACATTCACTGAACATTTCAGTAAATCTACCTTATGAAAATAATTCACTCTACCAACAGCCCCAATTTTCCCAGCATAGTTCAAAAAGCCCAGGGTTCCCTCGGTTGAGCCGTAGAACTCTTTGATGTCAACATTTCCAAATCTGCTTATGAACGTCCTCCACACCTCTGGTCTGATCCCGTTCCCAATGGCCATTCTGACGTTGTGTACTTGGTCGCTAACACGCTGGTAAGGATGAGAGAACAAAGATGAGAGAACAGCTTATTGTGCAGAGCAAATAGAGCACTGCAGACACTGGAGCGGAGAGTGGGGTAAGATGT